CAGTGGGAGGACGGGGTGGTGGGAGAGGTAACTGGGCACGCTTCTGTCTCCGTCCCTGACTGGCCAGAGTGGCATCGGGCAGCTTAGGAAAAGAAAGAAATAAAGTTCATAGTATGTTTAAGTGTGTGTCATGTATGTGTTTCACTTTGAGAGCGGACAACTAAATTTCATTTTTGATGTGTGCCATTGTGCCCACAGTATAAAAATGACAATAAAGGTTATCTTATCTTTTCTCTCCGGGCACCTGGCAAAGCCCAGCCAGGGAAAAATGGGTTGTGGAGAGAAGGCACTCTTGTAAAATTCTCCAAGTTTGCTTCATTTCAGCCAACCCTGCCCCCCCACAGAGGCAGGAAGGGGAGGCCCCCAGGAGAAAGCCACGTGGGTCCAGCCGAGGGCCCAGAAGCCCCCGGTGCCTCCTTCCTGTGGGGAGACGCCGGCCCTCCTGTCCAAGTGACCAGATACAAGCAGGACGGCTCCACACCGGTTCCTGGCACCAGTGGGACCCCCAACTGCCTCCCCAGGGTAGCTGCGCACCCTTCAGCAGGCATAAGCGTGAGGGACGGCACACACACACACACACACACACCCCACTGAGCTGCCGATTTCTGCCCTGCGCTTCCCTGTGGCTGAGCCGGTCCCTTCAGGGCTTTAGGGATTAGCGGCCGCACGTCACTCTCTGTCCTGAGGCAGAAATAGCCCCGGGGGAAGCCGCTTTGCAGCTCAGGGCCGGGGAGGCTGCCCGAGGGCAGGGCAGGCCGTGGTGTGTGCAAGTTCCAGTGGGCATGGCTGCCAGGACGAGGACCGCCAGAGCAGGGATCTGCAGAAGATCAGCCGGGCACTTGGGGGGGGAATCCTCAGGGGTCAGGTCATGGCATCTGGAGGACAGCACAACCACCCTTGTCCACAAATTGTCGTACTTTTGCACATCTGCTTCTGGGTCTGGCTAGACCAAGGGTAGGCAACCTGGGCTCTTTTATGACTGATGGACTTCAACTCCCAGAATTCCTGAGCCAGCCATGCTGAGGGGAAAGGGAGAGGTTTCCAAGCTAAGCCAGGCTGGCTCAGGAATTCTGGGAGCTGTGGTCCACGCGTCACGAAGCAGCCAAGATTGCCTACCCCTGGGCTAGACCACCCAATGTTGGCAGAGTGAATAGCACAGATCGACAGCGCCCGATGCCCCCTGGGATCCTGAACCAGGGCTGGGGTGGATCGAAGAATTATACCGTGATGCCCCTCTGCTGGTTGTGATCCACTTCTTTGGGGGCCCTGCCATGGACAGAGATCACCAGATCTCCTCAAGACCGGATTGATCCCGCGGAAGGGCTTGCAAGAGCCGCCAGACTACCTGTCCTGTTCCTCCCCACCCTCCTATGGTGACCCAGCCCGGGCAACCCCTTGCAAAGAACCAGGGGAAGCTGCACCTTCCCTTGCCAGCAGGCCAGGTCAGGCTGTGACTTCTGGCTGCTGATGTGCTGTTATTTTGGCTGGGAGCAGAGATGGAGACAGGAGGAGAGGCCTGGCCCTTCTCAGAACACCCCCGTCCCTTTCCACCAGGGAGATGGGCTGACTTCTAGGGTGGCCTGGGCCAGGGCAGGGGACAGCAGCTCTGCCCACTGAGGTAGGGCCCAAAACATGGCTCTCCCCTTCTTCAGTGTCTGAACGTGCTGCTTGTCTGACTCTGTGTTAGGTGAGCCGTTGTTGTCCCCCCCCCAGCCTCTGCATGGATGTGAGCGCTCCCACTCCAGGGGTTTCAAAGGTCTGGCCTGGGCATCGCTGCCCTCTGGCTGGCCTCACCAGCTGGGCCCAGCCTTCTGTGCAGCAGGACTCTCCTTTTGCTAGCTCCCTGACAGGCTTGGCTGCATTGGGGCAGGGTCTCTGCACACCACCCCCCTCCCGGCTCTCCAGTCAGCTGGGCTTCTCGGGGTCAAGGGGCCGGCAGCTGCACCCCCTCCTCCATAGTTGAGTGCAGTGGCCCAAAGGATCTCCCCTCCCCAGGTCAGCCAGGCAGGCCACAGCCTCTGGGCCTTGAACGGATGTGACTTGAGGATGGAGATCTTTGGCGAAAAGCAGCACCAAAGGCCTGCCCCTCCCCTTGCAGAGCAGACACATTCACACATACAGGCAAAGCACAGGAGGGCTACAACCGCCATCCGGAAGGGCTGAAGGGCATATGCTGCACCTGGTGCACTGGCAGCTGGCACTGCTGGGGTGGCTCAGAGCTCCCCCCCCATACTTCTAAAGGTCAGAGGAACTCAACTTGTTTTTAACTAGTTACCAAACTTGCCTTTTTTTATTGCAGCCAATTCTAGAGGGAAGCTCCCCTCTCTCACACACAGACACACACGTCTTTTTGGCACGAGTTGAAAATGCGGGAATTCCAAGATAGCAAGTAAATCTTTTTTTAAAAAATGGGTCATCAAACCAATTCTGTGAAACCAAAATGTCTGACATTTAAGGAATGCTGCCTGTCTATTTAGAACTGGGGTCCTCAAACTTGGCAACTTTTAAGACTGGTGGACTTCAGTTCCCAGAATTCCCCAGCCAGCATTGGCTGGGGAATTCTGGGAATTGAAGTCCACCGGTCATAAAGTTGCCAAGTTTGGAGAGCCCTCTCTCAGGATTAGATCCCAAGGTCCCCTACCTTCTCTTAAGCCAGTGTTTCTCAACCCTGACAATTTTAAGGCATGTGGACTTCAACTCCCAGAATTCCACAGCCAGCATTGCTGGCTGTGGAATTCTGGGAGTTGAAGTCCACATGCCTTAAAATTGTCAAGGTTGAGAAACACTGCCTTAAGCTGATTTTTAAGGGGAGGAAAGATTCAGATGTTATTCAACATCTGTTTAATAATGGCAATTGTGCTGTTTTCTGTGGGGTTCACCCCCAATTCACTCTCCACGGGGCTGCAGAAAAAAACACACACAAACACACACACACCATTGTGTGTCCAATGGTCTCCTGCAGGCCTGCTGACCCACTGCCCAGGGCTACAGCCCACCCCTCCAGTGGACTCTTGGCAGCTCACAAACACAACAATACACCTGGTGTTTATGCTGAGGGGTTTGTTTACTCAGCTCTCTCTCTCTGTGTCCAGCCTGAAAGGACACGTTAGCCCAACTCTGGCACAAACAACCCCAGCGAAGGTTTACCGATGGCCAGGAGTTTGATCCTGCCCCATCCGATCGGTTCAAGGCAGGTCACGCTCGTTTCCCAAACAGAAGGGGGGGGGAAGGCCAGGGTGTTGTTTGGGTGCCAGTGGGCCCTGGACCTCCCCACCCACTCGACCTCCCGAACGGAGGGGGCTCCCAAGGGTGGTGCCCTGAAGGGAAGACCCTGCGTGTGGAGGGCCCACCATTGGCAGACGCAGAGTTTCAAGCACACTCGCGCCTGCCATGGCTGGGTTCTCACAACATAGGTCATCCCACAGCCAGCTCACGAAACACCCTGGCTCGTTCAGACAACCTGCGGAGCCAAGCAAAACCTATTCCAACAAAAACTGCCAGTCCTTTTTCTGCCTGGACTTGCATCTTGTCTGAACCGGCTCCCATGGTTGATCCTTCCTCCCACCCCTGGTTTTTGCAACCCGACCCTTCAGACAGCCCAGCCATCATGCAGGTTCAGGAGAGGAGGTCGCAGATGCCTTTGGTCCCTGTGATTCCTCTGACTCTGTTCATGGTTCCCCACCCTGGCCAGGTGCTTCCCTCCAAGGATCCCAGGCACAGCCCAGGTGTGAGCGAGCACCGGCCCTCTCGTCTCCCCCTGGAGCTCCAGGCTGAAAGGAGAACCAAGGGCCTTGCTTCTTCCCTCTTCATCCTGGCCTTTCACACACACACACACATCCCAGGTATGGGGGGGGCTGCACCGCCCCTTCCTGACTAGTCTGCACGATTTCTGGGCCACCCCTAGTGGGTGAGGCTGGCAGCCCCGTATCAGGATCTGCTGTGCCACAGCCACCAGTCCCTGGCAGGGAGCTGGGTGAGGAACTGCCAGGGGTTCTTTAGGAGAGCAAAATCCGCACTCAACACTCAATGGGTGCCTTCTCTCTTGCTTGAAGCTCCTGAAGTGCAGAGAGAGACACCCAGAGAGCAGACAGCCTCTCCTGAATCCATTTATGTATCCTTGACCTCAACGTGGTGATTTTGCTGTGGGGTGTTGTGTACCCACGGTCACTGTGGCTTACGAAGCCTGGGTGGTATGTTAGCATCCCAGAAACCCAGTTCTCTCAGTAAATCATGGCTAAAACACAGCATCCCACACTGTTTGACAGGATGGTCAAACCGGGTTACTGCCCGATTGTAGCCCGGCTATGCTCGGCATTAGTGCTGAACCTTTGGGGGGGGGGGAGGAATTCTGACCTACTTCACAACAGGAGCTGCAAAATACAGTACAAGACAAGCCACACTAGGAGCAGTGAAGGGGGGAGTGTCCTTTGCTCCCCACCTAACAAGGGATTCCCTCAGAAAAGGCGGGGGGAGGGGGGAGCAGCCACTCACTCCTGGTGTCACAGCAACTGGTATTCAGAGATAGACTACTCCCCAAGATGGAGGATCCATTCATTCAAAGAAAATATGATGAAGATTATAATATGCTTTCTAAATCCAGAATGTCGATTTAAAGGCAGAATTCAATCTCAGGTCAAGCTCGAATATTTTAAGGAAGTAAGAAAATGATCCCAGATCCCAAATCCTCAGCACAGGGGATGCCCAACAGATCTGCTCCGGCAGAGACCGTCCATTCCTCTCGTCGGAAGGCGATGGTACCAGGCCGGCCAGGGCGAACCAGCCGGTTCAAGCCTGAAGCCTACCCTGCAGGGCTGGGAGGATATTTTGCCCTCCTCGGTTGGAAGCGGCGGCGGCGGGCGGGCTGGTCGGAGCCAGCGGTGCAGAACCCCCGCGAGACCCGTCGCGCACCCACTGCCCCGCGACCCTCGCTCCGGGAGCCGCGTACCTGGAAGGGGCCCCGCGGGCCCGTCCCGTCCGCCCGTCCACCCGCCCGCGCTCACCTCTCGGGTTCCAGGCCGGCCTGGCAGAGCCGGGCGTTGTACCGCTGCGCCGCGGTCCGGTGTCCGGTGTGGAGAGGCGCACAGCCGGCGGAGTCGAGCCGCGGCGTCCTGGGGCTGGCCGGTTCTTGCATGGGGCCCACGATCAGGCTGTAGTCGTAGGGAGCCATCGCCGCCTGCCCGTCCATGGCCACCTCGACGGCTCCCGGCAGCCCGGGCGGCGGCGGCGGCGGCAGATGCGCTCCGGCAGGCGTGGCGCTGGGCGGGAGCTTTCCGGGAGCGGCCGGCAGGCTTTCCACGCCCGCGTCCATCCCGCCCCGCCCCGCCCCGCGGTCCACCTCCCGGACCGGGAATGGAGGGCGGAGGGCTGCCAGGCTAAGTTCGGCCCGCCCGGACCCGCCCAGCCCCGCCCTCGAGGCCCGGACGGGGCTAACCCTCTGGGCATGGACAAAGTGCGAATTCTCTGAGCTCGGGCGCTCGTTTCCCCCAGAGGCTGTTCCTGGCCTGGAAACCCCGAGGGGCCCCGAGTCACCTAGCCGATTCTGAAGCAGGGATAAATGCTGCGGTGGCCCCCAGGCTTGCGGCGTTATCTCGCGGGTGCTTCGTGCTTTTCGTGTCGCCCGGAGTCCCCAGACTGCGGCGCTCTAAAAGCCGGATCGACGCCCGAGCAAATCTCGCCCCCCCCCGCAGATGCCAAGCGGCCTCCTCGCCCCCGCTCGCCCTTTCGCTTTCTCTTGCCACGTGTCGCGGCAGGGCCCCAAGGTCGCCCGCCGCCTCTCCCGCCCTGCCCCGCCGCTCCTCCCGGGCGGGCAGCGGGAGGCGGGCAGAGTCGCCCCGAAGCTTTTGCGATCCTCGCCCTCGGAGGCCTGCCCGGGGAAGGGGCGGGGGGGGTGCTGCACCGTTTGCTCGCTTCCTTCGCTTGTGCTCCATAACGAATTGTCCTCCCCAGCAAAGCGCCCGCAGGTTGCTTGAAATAACGTTGCCCCCCCCTCCGCCGGTGCACACCCTGCGTAACCCCGGAGTTTAACTCCCATCTCGGAAGACGGGAGGGAAAAGGTTGTAAAAGGTCTTCGGATATAAACCCCCCCCCCGGGAGAGAAAGCGGAGTCCGGGACGCGAAGCTCTCAGAAAAGCAGCGGCCGCTCTCGCTGCTAGGCAGGGCGATGGGGGGGGGGGCGATGCCGGCCGGTGTCCGCCTCCTCGGAAGCGCCTCGCCGGCGGAGAGCGGGAAGTGCCGGCCCCGCTGTGGCTCTCGGCCGGCTGCCCGGACACCCGCACCTCCCTCTCCGGCCCGCCCCGCAGCGGCTCTGGGCCCGGTCGGCAGACTCCGCACTGTGGACCCTGCGCCCCGGGGGCGGGCACGCGCGCGCGACAAGAAGGGACGCGGAACGGCCGTCCGGCCGGGAGGAAGCCGGACCCTCCTAAAAGGCCGGCGGTGGCTCCGCATTGGGCGGCTTCCCTCCGGGTCGGGGCCGTCGGGGTGGGAGAAGGGGAGCCCCCGCGACGCCTCTGCCTCGTCTGCCCGCTTCCAGCGCGGGGTCCCGGCGCGCCGACCCCAGGGGGCTTCCCCTCTTCCGGCTTTCTGGGGAAGCTGCGCTTTGGGGGCGAGAAAGGGGCAGCCCCGACTGGCTTTCCTTGCGAAAAGCATGAAGGGGGAGGGGAGTTAATGTGCGGGCTGTGAGGATTCAGGGAAGCCACCCGGCCTCGGGGTCTGCCTGAGCCCCCCACCGCATCAGGATCAGAAGGTTTCCGGGAAGCCCCCTCGGGTCTGCTCCTCCCCCCCTTCTCGTCCTTTGCCTTTTACAGGAGCCCTAAAACTTGTATTTGTCCCCTTCACCAGCCTCCCGCATCCCATAGAAAGCCGGCAGGTGGGCGGCAGGAGGTCGAAGGACCGCGCTTCTCCCACAGTTCGGGTGGGGGTGATGGTGGGGGTCATGTTTCTTTGGCTGTTTTTAGACTTTATTTAAATTTTTATCTGATGCCCTGTTTGTGTGCTGCGTCAGGAGGGCTGCCATTCATGTTAAAGAAACGAAGGGCTGGGGTTTGTGTGTGTCCCTCCAGCTTTCTGTTTTGCCAGGTTAGAAAAAAACGTCAGGGAAACACGTAGACTTTAAACCTGAACTTTCTTTTATTAGGTGTAATTCCAGAAAAAAATGGATAAACAAAGTGTATATTTACCATTACGTGTATTAACAGCAGCGAGAATTGTATTTGCTCAGCAATGGAAAAATGAAGAAACACCCACTGGAGGAAGAGATAATCAAGAAAATGCTGGACTGTGCCGAAATGGACAGGCTTACATTGGGGATGAAAGAGAACGAAGATACAGAATATTTTCAGACATGGCTGGAAAAACGGGATAGGCTTGTAGGGGGAGGCAACCTCGGCTCTTTTATGACTCGTGGACTTCAACTCCCAGAATTCCCGAGTCAGCCGAGGTTGCCCACCCCTGGGATAGAGAATAAGAACTTAACTTGTATTACTAAGCCAAACGAATCAACCCAGACAACACGCTGTTCATTAAGCGCTGATGAAATGCGATAATAGAAAATTAATAAAATATTATTTAAAAAAAGAAAAAGAAAGCAGGCAGGTGGGTTGCAGGAGGTCAAGGGATCGTGGTTCGCCCACAATTCGGGGGGGGGGGTTTGTTTCATATTTCTTTGGCTGTTTTTAGACTGTTTAAATTTTTAAGTGTTGCCATGTGTGAGATGGGCTACCATTCATGTTAAACAAACAAATGGCTGGGGGGGGGGTCCTCCAGTTTTGCCAGGAGGGCCCTTTGGGCAGCCCCTGGGTGGATCCGGATGCCCCCCCCCGCGCTGCTCCTTCCCCTGCTGAATGCTGCCCCTTGGTGACTGTCTCACGCTGGGCCAGTCCAGAGAGGTCCCCTGAGGAAAGGCCTCCCGGCTCTCTGCCCCCTGCAGCCATGGGGGGGGGGCGTGAAGAGTACAAGCTAAGGGCAACCCCAACTCTTGGTCCCGTTTCTTCCCCCCCCCCCCCGTGGTCAGCAACACACAACCTCCCACCTGCAATGGGAGCTGATCTACAGCAGGTGGCAGATTTGAGCAGGCCTTGCCTGCTCTCAAAACAGTCAAGCAGGACTTAACCTTGTTTGTCATCCCTGATGAAGCAGAACGTGGCTTGTGGAGCACTGAACTCCCGAGGTTCCGTTTCAGCCTCATAATTGGGGATACTCCTGGGTGTCCATTGTTGGATATCCTTCCCCCCCCTCCAGCAATTTCATGGAAAGACAGCGCTTTGGGATGAGCACACATGCAGATATCTCAGCAAGCATTCCTTAGGCTGGATTTCAACCCAAGAGGGACCCCTTGGCACCCCCAAACTGTTGGGGGTTCCATGTTCTCAGGGTGGCTAGAGAGGACTCATGTCGGGGGGTATGTACAGATTTTGCAAATATTAAAAACTGCAGCTTAGCGGTCCCAGAGGTGTTTTTTCAAGAGGCAACCGGACTTTGTTTTCTTTGAAGATGTTTCACTTCTCATCTGAGAAGATTCTTCAGTTCTGAAGAAGAGAACTGATGAGAACCGAAGAAGCTTCTTGGATGAGAAGCAAAATGTCTTCAAGGAAAAACAAAGCCAGTTGCCTCTTGAAAAAAACACCTCTGGGATGTCAGAGATCTCCGGTCTCTCAACCCGTCTTGGCAGCGGGAAGATGGGCGGGCCTCAAGGCCCCCCAGGGCCCCAGCCAGCAGGTTTCCCCAGGGCTTCAGGAAAGAGGTTAAAACCTGGGGTTTTTTTTCATCTAGAAAGGCGTCTGTTGAATGTTGGGGTGCACTGGGGGATAACACATGGCTTTTAATTTTTTTAAAATAAATTATTATGATGCTCTTGAGATTGTTGTTATTTGGAGGCCTGGATTTGTTGGGTTTCTTAGACGAGCCGGGGTTGGACTAGATGACCTCCAAGGTCACTTCCAACTTTATTATTATTATTAGAGTCAATGAGAGCCATTGAGAATGAGCGTCATACAAATATATAGTAAATAACTGAACCATTTTCCCTGCCCCCCTAAATTAAGACCAGATGTAACAATCATAGGCTGTAGCTTCAAAAGATGTTGAGACCATGGAAAAAGTGCAGAGAAGAGCAACTAAGATGATCCAAGGCCTGGAGACTAAAACATACGAAGAACGGCTGCGGGACTTGGGTCTGGCTAGTCTAAAGAAAAGAAGAAATAGGGGTGACACAATAGCAGTCTTCCAGTATTTGAGGGGCTGCCACAAAGAAGAGGGGGGGGTGTCAAACTATTCTCCAAAGCACCTGAAGGCAGGATGAGAAACAATGGTTGGAAACTGATCAAGGAGAGAGCAACCTGGAATTAAGGAGAAACTTCCTGACAGTGAGGACAATCAACCAGTGGAACAGCTGGCCACCAGAAATTGTGGCTACTCCATCACTGGAGGTTTTTAAGCAGAGACTGGACAGTCACATGTCTGAGATGGTGTAGGTTCTCCTGCCTGAGCAGTGGGCTAGACTAGAAGACCTCCATGGTCCCTTCCAGCTTCTATTCTATTCTATTCTATTCTATTCTATTCTATTCTATTCTATTCTAGTCTAGTCTAGTCTAGTCTAGTCTAGTCTAGTCTAGTCTAGTCTAGTCTAAATTCTACTTAGATTTTGTCCAAATCTACAGAGAAACCCCCTGTAGGCAAGACTTACCCCAGAAGGGAGCAGTCTCCCTACAGAGGTTGTGGGTTCACCCTCTCGGCCAGAAGAAGCTGAACAAATTGTCTTTTGAGGTTGGTCTAAATCAGGGGTAGGCAACCTCGGCTCTTTTATGACTCATGGACTTCAACTCCCAGAATTCCCCAGCTAGCATCGCTCTACCCAATCCATCTCCAACCTTTCCAACTCAACAGACCAGTGGAAGCAGGGCGGGGGGGGAGGGGAGAGAGAGGGGATGCACCCATTTCCCTGGCCCAGTTCTGAACGGGCTACAGTCCGGCACTGGACCGTGGCTCAGGGGTTAGGGACCCCTGGTCTAGATGATCCTTGTGGTCCCTTCCACACTGGGTGTTAAGCACTGGACCTGATCGCCTTCTTAGGTTAAACACGGCCTACATTCTCCAAGCACAGAATTTACCTTTTATTGACCCAAGCTGAGGCTCGACCTGTTCTGTAAACCGGCCTTTACCAATTGCCAGGATGTATAGAATAGAATAAAAAATTTATTGTCACTTTATACGGATGCCCACGAAGCCTCACGCCCATTAGGGGGGTGGAGGGGGGCAGAGAATTCCCTGCCACTTGGGGAATTCTAAGGGGAGTCAAACCCCTGCCAGCCTGGCAGTCTCCAGTGCACCAGGCTGGGCTCTGGGCTCTGCTTCCATCTCAATGGAGCCAACACTTCCTCTGCCAGTGTGACATCACAGCCTCTTCCAGGCGGCACCCCAATGCCACTGTGATGCACGCAGCTCTGCTCTGACCAGTTCCACGGATTGCTGAGCCAGCTCCCCCCCCCCTCGCTGAGTCAGTGCTGGGCCCCGCTGCCTGGCCAGCTAAGGGAGGGCCTGGGCATGCCTGTCCCCTTGAGCCCAGCTGCCCCACACCCCATGGCTAGAGATGTTGGCAAGACACTCGGCTTGGAGGGGGGGCTGCTCTGCCAGCTGATCCGCTCCCCAGATTACAACCTGTTCCCCAACTCGGCTGTTTTTGAGAGCAACTTCATTCAGGTTTGTGGAGGGGCAGGCCAGGAGGTAGGCCGGGCTGGGGGCTGTGCCAAAGATGCCCACTTAGCCTTCTGCCTTCACCCTTGGGCAGAGATGATGGGGGGGTTGCCGCTTCTGCTGGGCATGCCACTGGGAAGCCTTGGGCTGAGTGAAGAGGGTACCCTCGCCCGTTGCACCCCTTGGTGGGAACAAGGGGGTGACTGGATTTGATGAAAATAGACGGGTTTGGCCCTTTAATTAACCCAGGGCTCTCGGGTGGGCGGGAAATGGTTTCCAGGTCACAAAGAAGGGGAAATGGATGGACATCACCCACACGCCCACCATTGTGACTCTGGCAGTGACCTCCTCGGATCCCTGCCTCCCTCTCCCCAACGTGCTCCTGATGGCCAATCACCGGGCCCCGCTTGGCAGGCCCAACGCTGGCGGTCCCCAGCTGTCACGGATGGACCTAACCAGGTGATGTTGGCCCAGGATCAGGAGGGTGACCTTGGCCCAGGCCTGTCCCTCCCTGGGCCGGATCAGGAGGGGAAGCAGGCTGGCACCGGAGAGGCTTGGGCTGCCTCAGGGCACCTCCCCACAGCTAGAGAAGGAGGAACCCGGCCAGGTGTGATCCCAGGTTGCTTCACACATGCAGCTCCAGGGCCGGGTGTGTGGACACCACCCAGAGCCTCGTTTTGGGCAGCCTGAAGTCCGTACTGGGGCCGATGTCCAGCCTCAGCAGCGTTGGCATGGCCTGTGTGCCCAGGGTTACCTGGATCGTGGTTCATTCCACGAATCCTTTCCTGGGTCTAATAAACCAACAGTGACTGTGGGGAGCAGAATTTTGAGACTTGGGAGGTGTCTCGTTTGGGGGGGGGGTGCTGCAGGCAAAAGGGAGCAGCCAAAGCCCCCCTTCCCAGGCCCACCCCATGGGGGTCTTGCTCATCTCCCAACCCTGCCCCACCCCCACCCGAGCTTCTGGCCCAGCCTGTCCTTGACTGCCTCCGTTGCTTTGCCCAGGCTGCTCCCCCTCCGCTACGTCCAGCTCTCTGTCCACAGCGCCTCCCAGCGCATTTTGCGTCTCCAGACGGTGACCAAGACGGTGTATTACCTGCAGCTGCACCACGAGCACCCAGAGGCCGTCTTTGCACTCTGGAGCCGCCTGACCAACATCCTGCACAACGGCCTCTCCACCACCACCAAGGACCCGGCCATCCCCATCCACCACTGCCTGGTCTCCAGCCGTAGCAGCAGTGCCTCCAGCATCAGCCCCGTGGCCGAGGTATGCGACCCCTCAGCTCCAATCAGAGCAAAGCGGGAAGGGACCTCGGAGGTCTTCCAGTCCAACCCCCTGCTCAAGCAGGAGACCCTATGCCATTTCAGACAGGTGGCTGTCCAGACTCTTCTTAAAGACTTCCAGTGTTGGAGCATTCACAACTTCTGGAGGCAACTTCTCTACCCCTGATTAATTGTCCTCTCTTAGGAAGTTTCTCCTTAGTTCCAGGTTGCTTCTCTCCTTGATTAATTTCCATCCACTGTTTCTTGTCCTGCCCTCTGGTGCTTTGGAAAATAAATTACCCCCCCCCTCCTTTGTGGCGGCCCCTCAAATACTGGAATACTGCTATCATGTCACCCCCTGGTCCTTTTCTTTAGACTGGCCATACCCAACTCCTGCAACCCTACTTCATATGTTTTAACCTCGAGGCTTTTGATCACCTTAGTTGCTCTTCTCTGCACTCTTTCCAAAGTCTCAACATCTTTTTTTGTAATGTGGTGACCAAATCTGGATGTGGGATTCCAGAGGTGGCCTTACTAAAGCTTTATGAATCGGTACTAATATTCAGCCGAAGGGCCACTCCGGGGAGGCCAGCTGGTTGACAATGTCCCTGCAGACGGTGGGGGGCTTGCAAGGAGCCAACGACAGGAGAAGGATGCTCTAAAGGCCGGCCAGATGCCCTTCTCTCCCTGGCTGGGTTCAGAGGCTTTTGATTTCAGAGGGTATTCCGGAAGAATCTCTCTCACCCAGCCATCTAGAGCTCTCCTGCCAGCACAGCTCCAGTTGGGGGGGGGGATCCTTGGTGCTCTCTGAGCTCAGTGGGGTTTTTGCAGACTTTTCATGACCCAACTATGTAACATCATCAGTGCTAAAAGGGAGAGGGGAGTGGCGTCATATACAAGTCACTTATCCTGTCAGTGTTGGTGGGCGTGGTCTTGCTAGTTCCTTCATTAGGCTTTTGCTTATCCTTAGATTATTTGTCTGAGATGGTAGTTCCTTGATTGGGGTATAAACAGAGGACCAACCCTATTTCCTTCAACCACCGATGATGTTCCCTAGTTGGGTCATGAGATGTCTGCAAGAAAACAACCCAGTTCAGAGAACACCGAGGACCCCACAGTTCTCCCCCCATAACCCCCCTCCCTTCTAAGCCCTGATAATGTTACCTAGTTGGGTCATGAAACGTCTGCAAGGAAACAGCCCAGTTCAGAGAACACCGAGGACCCCAGGGTTCAACCCTGAGCTGCAAATATTGTCGACAGCACCCCTTCCTCAGCTGGGTCCCCATATCTTTAATGAGACAGGCCGGTCCTGGCCGCTGCTGAACTAAGATCAGGCACCCCACCCGCTTTCAGCTGAAGCCAGCCGTGGTGCAAGCAAGCCTCAGTTTGGTTGTCACCTTCCTTTCCACCTCCCAGGGATGGGATTGCAGCCAGGGTGGGGGATTTGTAGCCCTTTGGGGGAGCAGGGCATTGGTTACTCCTCCCTGGGCTCATGGAATGAGGGGGGTCTCCATCTAATATCAACCTCTTGTTCCCCCCCCCCCAGAACTCTGAGACGGTGATGAGGAGCCCAGGGATAATAATGGGAATGGGCGGGAAGGTGCCGGGCGCCACCTCCCAGTTCTCCCCAAGACTCAAGCAAAATCTGGAGAAGCCCAGGAGGTAAGTGGGCTGATGAGCCAGACCCCCCCCACACGCCCCTCCCTCCCTGGTCAGTTTGGGGCAGGCTCAAACCTCTGATTTGCACAGACTTCTCTCCTGAGCTCCTATCTACAGACTTCACGCTTAAGTTTCTTTATTATTTTCTTGCTCATCTGGGCCAACGATTTAGGGAGAGCTAGATACAAGGCAAGTTCTGCAAGGCAGGTTCAGGCTGAAGGCCGGACAATCTGCTGGGGACAAGAATGGTTTGACAGGGCAGCCCCCGACCCAGAGAGCTGGAGGTCTCCAAACAGGAGCTGGACTCCCCTTTATCGGAGATTTTTTATTTATTTTTCTTACCAAAGTTGTTTTAATCTGAATTTACATCCCGAGCGGCAGGAGAGGATCCACCTGTCTGAGAAGGGCCTTTGAAAAGCCGTGGGGGTGGGCCATCCTGGGAAGGAGGCGGGGGGGGGTACAGACACCCTGTAAAAATGCACAGCTTCTGAGAAAACTTGGTGAGGGTCAACCTACCCCCATCCGCCCTCAGGACGAGCTTTGGCGAAGCAAGCGCCAGCCCTGCCTCGCTTTCCCCTCTGACGGGACCCTGGGTGGGGCCGAGGGGGGGGCGGGGCTTCCCCGGAGGGTCCCTTTCCTGATCCGCCCTACCTCTCCTCTCGCGCCAGAGTCTCCTTCCAAGCGCAGCAGCAGAGCCTGGACAGCTCGCCGGGACCCTCCAGCGATATTAAAGGTGAGCGCTGCCCCCAGGACCCCCAGGGCGCCGGGTCGGGGGAGGCAATGGGGCCTGTTTCTGGCTGGGCGGCGCCCACATCCCGGCGCGCCCCTGCAGTGGCCCAGGACAGCCGCCCGGGGGCGCCCCAGAGCAGCGGCCCAGGACCCCCCCCTTTCTCCGCGCCCGAGGCCGACCGCCGCCTCTGCCCTGCTCTGCTCTGCTCTGCCCGGCAGTTCTCTTCTACGACCAGCCGCCGCCGCTGGTGTGCGCGCGGTGCCGGGGGCGGCTGCCCAGGACCGAGCCGCGGAGGTGCCGCCTGGACGCCCGGCCCGCCGACTCGGACCCGGAGCTGGCGCCCTGGATGGACCGGAGGGTGCACGGCCTCTGGCAGCAAGAGACGCCCACCTGGCTGCAGCCCCTCTGCCGGCTCAGTAGCCTCGCCGCCGCCGGCTGGAAATAGGTCGGGCCGGGACCCCGGCGGGGTCGGACGGGACCCCCGGACACGGCGCTGTCGCCGCCGCCGCCCAGGCCGGCCGAGAAGCGCTTGGCAGGGCCAAGGCGCAAAACGGATCAATAAAACTACCGGCTGGACCCGACCCAGGCGTGGCGCCCGCTGGCCGAGGAGGATGCGGGAGGGGCGGACCCGGGGACAGCGCCGCCCGGGCCTAGATCGGGGCCGCGGAGGGCCGAGGCGAGGGGGAGGCGCCCCGGGTAGCTGGCTCTGCCGGAGGACGTGGGCGCGGCCGGGGTGGGGTGGGGGGGCTTCTAATACCCCTCCAGCCTTCCTCCTACCCGCCCCCCAACCTGTCTCCCCATCCTCTGGAAACGGTATCCCGACTGTTGAGGGGAGTCCTCGGAGTGGGCCGGGGTCCCACCAAGGGGGCACACCCCCGCCTCTCCAGGCAGGGGCTGCTTTGGGGGGCGAAGCTGGGGGTGAGCAGCTTCTTGTGGCCAGATGGGTGGATTCATCCAACGCTTAACCCAGAAGATCAGGGAGGAAGAAAGAATTTGGAGGGCCAGGAGGGGGCTTTGGAGGCAAGGGGTGAGCGAGCCCCCCCAGATGGAGTCAAAATTTGGGGAAGGGCGGCTGAAAGGGGGAAGATGCTGCTTTTCCCATAACTGGAAGAGCCCCCCTGGCCATAGCCCTCCCCCCTTCCCCTCCAACCCCCCCCTCCAGTAATCCAAAGGAAGGTCAAACCAATTTAGGGGCATCGGTGAAGCCAGGCCTGACCTCTGCTTGCTGGGGTGTTCAAAGCAGTCAGAAAGGACCCCCACTGAGGACGGGGCATCCCGGAGGGGCTCTGGCTGCTCTGCTGCTGCTGTCAGAAGTACCATCCTTCGCCCGGTGCCAGCCTGCCATAAACCTGGGTGTGTGCGAGGGGCGGCGGGAGCCAGGGGAACCGAAATGAAGCTTTAGTGCCGTCCGAAGACCTCCGCTCATCACCCCAGGGCCAGGCGCTTGGGTGGGAAGCAGGATGTATCACTCCAGACCAGCCCGCTTTTGCAGGGACGGTTGCCAAAACTTCTTTGAATGTTAACTGGACACACGGGAGGGTGTAGCAGGGTGTGCGTGCGTGTCGAACGGGAACAGAAAAGTTAACTGGGAAACTTTCCCCCCCACAAAACCTCGGTTCTGGCTATGAACTACTGTAACCACCTGGCTTTTAGTAAAAGTATTCTTTTGGCTACCAATGGAGTGGAGAGTCTTGCTTGCCAAGAGGGCCCGACTGGGGCAGGGCTGACCGCTGCATCTTCAGGTGGGCGGGCGGGGGAGGCCCCTGAGGGAAAGGGACGCGGGCTTTCCCGCCTTTGCTGTGTGAACTTAACCAGCAAAAGGGCCGACTGCTGGCCACTTTCTAAACCAGGGCTCGTCCAACTTGGCCCTTTGATGACTTGTGGACTTCAGCTCCCAGAATTCCTCAGCCAAGCACGTGTGCCTGGCTGAGGAATTCTGGGAGTTGAAGTCCACAAGTCATCAAAGGGCCAAGTTGGAAGAGCCCTGTTCTAAACAGAGTCCTCTTTGCCACATTAAATGGCAAAGCGAAAAACTTCAGCCCCCCCAAAGAAACCTTCTCATCTGAATTTATATACAAATAAGGCCATTTACTGACCGTTCAAAGTTACAAGGGACTCCCGAAAGATACTTATGACCGGTTCTGAAGTTCCTATAGCTGCCCACCCCGTGATCACATGACCACATTTTGTGTGCTCAGCCACCGTCCTACATTAATGACCACTTGCCGCATCCCACAGTTGCATGACCACGATTTACACCATTTTTGCGGTGAACCTGCATTTATTTTCATTTTGGGGTAAAAGTGTCCTGTAGTGAACCATGGGTTTGCTTAACAACCACGGATTGACTTAATGAGCATAAAGTTTCACTTATGGTCACTGCAAAAAAGATAATAAAATACAAATCGGGTGGGTTGTGTGATAACTCATTTTATGACTGTCACAATTTATGACTATGTCCAGATATTCTGGTCTGGCAGCTAGAGCAGCCAAGGGCTGTGTGGGGGGGAGGGGGGCGGGGACGCAGAGGAGTTGATGAACAGGCCCCACGTGAGGCGACCTGCACTGTGATTGGCTGCTCTAGGTGTGGAGGGGGAGTTTTCCTTTTCCCCCACCTTCCCCCCCCCTGTGCCTTTTTGCGCTCTGCCATTTATTTACCTCAGGAGGAGGCTCCCCTTTGCCTCGCCTGCTGCAGGCGTGGAGAGACAGAGACACACACACACACACACACACACACAGAGAGAGAGAGAGAGAGAGAGAATAAAACTCCCAAGTTCCTTCAGCGTCTCCCACTTCATTGGGACGCCAACTGCACAATTCCCTGACAGACTATAATGGGCAGGCTCCATTATAGTTATAAGTCGAGGACTTTCTATACATTGAAATCCAGGCAGATGAAAAGCTGCTGAGGAGAGTCAATGGCAGCCATTAACAACAAAAGGCAGTTCCCCCTTCCCCATTAGCTTTTCTTGGTGTCCTCTCCTTTCCTTTGGACAAATGGCAAGTACAGGCAGTCCTCGACTTACAACCATTCATTTAGTGACCGTTCAAAATGACAGCAGCACTGAAAAAGTGATTTGTGACTGTTTTTCACACACACAACCGTCACTGCATCCCCACGGTCACGTGATCAAAATTCAGACCTTGGAAACACTCGTATTTATGACGGTCGCAGCGCCCCGGGGTCAAGTGATCCCTTTCTGGAACCTTCTGACAAGCAATGTTCAGGGAGGAGCCAGATTCCCTTAAAAACCGTGTGGCTTAACAACTGCAATGATTTATTTAAATACCGTGGCAAGAAAGATAGCAAAATGGGGGCAAGCTCATTTAACAGCTGTCTCATTTAGCAACGGATATTTCGGGCTCAGTTGTGGTCGTAAATCCAGGGCCCCCAGTACAAGGCCAGCAGCTGCCCTTCAGCCGGATGAATGGGAGGCCGGAGAGGGCAGACACCGAGAAGGATTCCAGGCTTTGCAAAACTCTCTGGCTTCAATGCATTGTGCAGCTTTTGCAGCTGGGCTGTGGGGTCCAGCAGGCCCCCTCCCCACTCCAGCTGTGCGGGGGGGGGGATGCCGAGGGGGCTGGCTCAGCTCCAAGGCCCCCTCCTGGCTTCTGGAAGCAACCCTGTGGTTCTGGAAGGGGGTGGGGGGGACAAAGTGCCCCCAGGCCCCTCTGCACGAGGGGGCAGGCACTGCCCGTGGGCCAGGAAGGTCACCCAGCCCCCTGGCTTTCCCCCCACCCCCGGCTGTCTCCCTGCTAAGCAAAGCCTTGAACTGGCAGCCTCCCTCCTCCGTTCAGGCATCTGGATTGCGGAGATGGGCCCCAGCCATTCCCACAAGCTGCTCCAGGCGTCTCTTTCTGGCCTTCCTCCCCGTCCTCAGGCTGGAATCTCCAGACGTGGCAGGCTGGGTCAGGCAGGGCCATCCCTCCCTGGGTGACGCCTCCTCAGCAGCCGGTCCTGCAGCCTCAGAAATAGACACCCCCCCCTTTTCCATCTTCCCTTTTTATATCTGAGGCAGGTTGGGTCACTTCACAGATGCCTTCCAGCATTTGCCCCTTTCCTGCCTAAGTGGTCTTGGTCTCAGGACGAGTCATCTGCCTTCTCCTGAAAATCTCCATGGTTTTAGCACAAAACCAACTCAGAATCAAAATAGAGCTGGAAGGGACCTTGGAGGTCTTCTAGCCCAACCCTCTGCTCAAGCAGGAGACCCCAGGCCATTCCTGACAAGTGGCCGTCCGGTCTCTTCTTAAAAACCTTCAGGGATGACGTGCTCACAACTTCTGAAGGGAAGCCATTCCCCTGGTTAATTGTCCTCCCTGTCAGAAAGTTTCTCCTTAGTTCCAGGTTGCTTCTCTCTTTGGTCAGTTTCCAACCATTGTTTCTTGTCCTGCCTTCTGATGCTTTGGAGAATAGCTTGACCCCCTCTTCTTTGTGGCAGCCCCCCAAATACTGGAATACTGCTATCATGTCACCCCAGTTTCTTCTTTTCTCTAGACCAGCCAAACCCAAATCCTGCATCCTTGTTCTTTGTATGTTTTAGTCTCCAGACCTTTAATCATCTTTTAATCCGCCCCTCCTGCCTCTCTCTGCTACAGGAGATTCATCTATGGGGAGGGAGGACAGGGACCCTTCCAGCAGGGGCAGAACCCACACCCCCTTCCCCTCTCCTCACCTTTCACTTGGAGCTAATGCTGGGATGGTTCTCAGGCTTGCTGGTGTGCAGTTCCTAGAATCCCGAAACAGCACATCTGGAGCCCATCAGGTTGGGGGAAGCTGCCTCATTGAGGGAGAGCATTTGTCTCCCACACTTTCCCCAACTTTGGCACAAACATGCTGTGGAGCATCCAAATCCAAATGATTGTGCTGCATTCTGGAGGGGGGGAGGGGGGGAGAGCCTCTCCCTCGGGACGCCGGGACCTTTGCTGACCTGGCTTCAAGGCTCGCTTTTATTCTTGCCTCTCCCAAAGAAGATTTCCTAAAAGGCAACTCTTGGTGTTTTTCCTTGAAGACGTTTGGCTTCTTCAGTTCTTCTTGGATGAGAAGCGAAATGTTTTAGAGGAAAACAGGAAGAAAGTCCAGTTGCCTTTTGGAAAAGCACTTTGGGGACCACCTGGATGAGAGAGACTCAGCAGAGACATCTGCTCTCGCCTCCTTCCAGTTAAAGGGGGGCCCAGAGAGAAACCCCTGGGGGGCACTTTCTCCTCACCCTCCTTCACGATTTGGCTGCTGGTCTCTCCCTCCCTCCCTCCCTCTCTCTCTCTCCAGAGGGAGTGTTTCTGTTGCTCCTGATTTTCCTGACTGGTGGGATCTGGAGTTCTAGCACTGAGCCCAGGTAGTCCTCAATTTACAACCGTCGATTTAATGATGGTACAATAGCACTGAAAAAAGGGACGTATGTCCGTTTTTCACACTTACGACCATTGCAGCATCCCCAGGGTCACGTGATCCAGATCCAGAGGCTTGGCAACAGACTCATGTTTATGACGGTCGCAGTGTCCAGGGGTCACGTGATCAGCGTTTCTGACCTTCTGACCCGCAAAATCAATGGGGAAGTCAGATTTCCTGAACAGCCAGGTTACTAACGGAACAA